TAAGTTTTTTTCCTCTGCCGGCTTTTGTCCTGCCTAGTTAATTTTTTTTTTTTTTTTTTTTTTTTAGAGTCACAGCAGGTGCCTTGGAGTCTTGGTTAGGGAATGATGGGGCTTGTGAAGATTTTTGGCTAGGTGTATGAAACAAATCAGGGGTCCCTGCATGAAGGTGCAGGCTGGATCAGACCCACAGATCAACCTCACATGCTGAATCCAGCACATACTGCAGGCCAGTGCAGGTGCTGCATACAGCAAACACCCTGGACCAGCCCCTCACACTACATGCAACATGTGCCCAGACTAGTTCCAAGAATCTTAGGCAGTGTATGCCCCAGACCAACCCCACCTGGGGCCAGTGCTGGTGCATGCTGCATGTGGTCTGTGGAGCCAATCTGGGGCAGGCCACATGCAGGTCCAGGCAAGACCCACGGGCAGCAGTTCTGGCCAGATTATATGGCTCTGTGAGATGGATCTGGCCCACAGGCTATATGTTTGATACCCTTATAGTAGAAAGATGGTATTGTAGGGAAAGGTGTTGGAGGAAGTGGTGTAAGCCAGCTTCTCTTTCTTCCTCTGCCTGCAGTCTGTCCTTGGACTACCTACTTATATAAACCATATTTGCTACTTAGAAGACAGTGTATAGCAGTAATTACAGTTACCTGTAATTGGAAGTAAAATAATCAATTCACTACCTCTGAAGGACCCATTTGGGAAATGTAATTGTTCTTCACTTTTGACTTGGAGATAGGATGTGACACAGAAAAATACTTCCTGTCATGTAACTGTGAAACTTGATGTGACCTGATGCAACCCAGTACTGAACAAAACATGCTCCAGATGCTGCTTCAACAATGCAAAGACAAAGGGAATAGGTGGTGAGACACTCTGCATTTTCTACTAGCCAGTGGTAGAAAAAAGCAGACTGTTTGCACTCTTGGGGAAAAATGTGCCAAAACCTATGCTCTCAAGTTTGGTATGTGTGCATAATTCATATACATCATGAAAACAGAATATACCCCTACATTTAACTCTGTTCTCTCATCTTAATTTTGAAATAATAGTGACTGAGACAGGTTTGGCTTAACAATCCTTTCTTTATACCAATTTTAATTACTTCAGTTCCACTGCATAAAAATGACTTAACTGTTTTTTCCACAAACACTAAGCAGTTCACATCTTAATTTAAAATACACGTGTCAACACCATAACATCACAGAGCCTCTGAGAATACTTATTCCACTTCCCATGCATGTCATCAAATCTTCCACTTTTACCATTTATGTGAAAGAAGAAAAGGAGTGGGGGGAAGTCTGTTGCCACTAGCAGTATCATATTTTCTCAGTTGTCCTTCAGAAATTATTTGGTAGAATGAAAACAGTCTTTCTGCTTTTTAACACAATGGGGAAGCTTGTCAGAGTTTTAGCAGGCATTCTGTAGCTACAGGACTTGATTTAGCAAACTACTTCCTGTTATTGTCCATAAGCCCTGTGCAACAGCAAGAGATATCTGCCAACAGCAACTGCCTCAGTGATGCTTTACACCATGTGTACCGAACTATAATTTACTTCCTTCATTTAAAAGCTGAGCATCCAGCATTGTAGTGCTATGATGGCATCCTTTCACAGTGATACTGGATACTCAGCAGCATGTTTCTCCCAATATAATTAAGACTGGATGCATCTACACATGCAGTTAATTTGCAGAAATAAATTCTGGCACAGTTAGTGCTGGAGTCAGCTGCTCCTGGACATAGCGTTTACATGTGTGCCCAGGACCACAGCAATTTGTGCTGGGGCAGAGCAGCCCTGGGCTGGCAGCAGACTCGGGAGTTCAGCCCCGGGCTCCAGGTTGCAATGTCAGGCAGTAGACTGGCTGGCTGGGGCACAAGAGTGCCCAAAGAGGGGAGCTGTGTGGCTAGGCAGCAAGTAGAGGTCTGGCCCCCTGCTGCCTGTGCTGACAGAGCACAATTTATGCCTGGGTCAGCATTTACACGTACATTTATGTACAGTTATTTTCACCACTGTAAGATAGTACTGTCCCTGACAATACTTTTATATGGCAGTGAAAATTAGTTTTTGGAGGACTAGTAGCATCACACATGTACAGTTGACTCTTCATGCTGCAGCAAATTAATATACTGTGCAGTTAAACACACATGTAGATGCACACACTGAGAGTGAATGAACAGATCAGGATAGCATTTACAAACTCATATTAAGGGATTAAGAAGTAATACAGCTGCATAATGGTGATAGAGCCATTATTATAGTTTGTCATCCTTGGCAAATTAATAATTATATGTTATTCTAAAATCTAAATGGTGAGTGAGGAGAAAGAAAAGCATGATCAGAGCTTAATTTGCAGACGTGTGTTTCAGTTGCATGAAAGAGAGAAAAGATTCAAGTTACTTTTTGCTCTCAGAGAATAAGTGTGAGTACAATTGGAGGGCTTGCTCTTAGGGCTCATCTTCACCAGGAAATTAATGTACTGTAAAGCTGTATGTGAATTAACAGTCCATTTTTCATTAACTTGCTGTGTAGACATGTTTAGCATACAAGGTTAAAGGTGTTTTACTCCACTTTCAGAGCACTTTGGAGATGAAAATATATATTGGTAATAAATTAGTAATATATATTAATAGATTAGTGATATATATAGTATATATAGTATAAATTCTGTGATCCAACTATACTTATTACTATTAACAAACTTTTCGCTTATCTTTGTGCACGTGTGTGTCCAGGCCAGCCATTTAAACTGGATCCCAAATCCGCCCACAGAAAGTTGAAGGTATCCCATGATAACCTGACAGTGGAGCGTGATGAAACCTCTTCCAAAAAGAGCCATACACCTGAGCGATTCACTAGCCAAGGGAGCTATGGCATAGCTGGCAATGTATTTATCGACAGTGGACGGCATTATTGGGAAGTAGTTATAAGTGGGAGTACATGGTATGTATCACATTTTTAATGATCTGCCATGCCAGAAATAAGTTGCGTTTGCTTCCATATCAAGTTGCATTTGAGTCATGTATCACTGTGCTGTGCGGACCTACTTTTTGATGTCTTCTTTCACCTTCTTTCCACTGGAATACATATTAAATCAGCAAGGAGAAATCAGATTAGAACAAATGGAAAAAAGAGTGGCAGATGGAAAGTTGGTGTTTTAAGTTAATTAAGGTGTTCCTTATTCCTATGTTTAGGATGGGAATTTAGGTTGGAAGAATTAGAATCCAGAGTTGTTAAGTATTCAACAATTTTCCTTGTAAATAAAAAAGGCCTTTGTCATTAGGTAAGAATTCCAAAAATTTGCTATAGCAGCCAAATTACACAGTTTTATGGACAATAGAGTTTGCATGATCTGCCAGTCACAACATGGGGAGTAGGGAAGAACTTTAATTAAGGCTGTGCAGATATTTTGGTGAGTCTTCCCTTAATGAGAATTTAACATAAATGAACAGAAGGGTGTCAGGCATTCCTCAGAGTCCTTCAGGGTAATGTTTAGCCTTTTATTGCTGGAAAACAGCATAGCATGAAAAAGGTGTCTTCTTAAGCTGTTTTGTTTTACAGGTATGCCATTGGCATTTCTTACAAGTCAGCACCTAAGCATGAGTGGATTGGAAAAAATTCTGCCTCCTGGGTGCTTTGCCGTTGTAATAATACCTGGGTGGTGCGACATAACAGCAAAGAAATTCCTATAGAGCCTGCTCCTCACCTCCGTCGTGTTGGGATTTTGCTGGACTATGATAATGGTTCCCTGGCCTTTTATGATGCTTTGAACTCTTTACACCTTTACACTTTTGACATTACATTTGGGCAGCCTGTTTGCCCCACATTCACTGTATGGAATAAATGTTTGACAATTATAACGGGGCTGCCTATCCCAGATCACTTAGACTCCACAGAGCAGCTTCCATAACTGCTAAAAGCAAAGAGGTAGGATGACAAAATTTTCAGTGGACTGCTAGAATGCTGCCCATAGAAGCTTGATGGGAGCTATTTGATTATATGGCATTTAAGAGGTCTCTGATGATTCCCATTTCAGCAGAACTGAAAATGGGAAACTCTCTTTACTGTGTATTTTGTATTAAAGGGCAAGAAATGGCTTTAATAATTTCTCGGAACATTTTTGTATTTAGTCTCTTACAGGAAGATTTATAAATTATTTATAGATTTAAAAAAACAACGAAAAAAAGGAAAGCCTGATTTGGATATTCGGATTACAATTCATTGCTTTTGCACATGAAGGGCCTCATTCACTAAAGTTTCACTAGCCCTTTCCATAGTTTTATTTTATAGCAGACAAAACAAACAAGAATTCTGTATACTAGAAACTGTGCAGAGGACAAATCCACATACTACAAGTTTTAATTGTACTAATGTAACATTAAATTCCAATATTCTTGTGTGCAACATCTTCCGCAACACAGGGATGTGCAGTCAGAGAAGAAAAAGTAGTAGAAGAAGAAGAAGAAAGAAAATAAAAAGAGGGCAGTGAAGCTAGCCAGTCCAACAAAACAAGAAACATTATTTTTTTTCTATTTGCCAGTAAGGCAGCATGTTAAATCTACTTCTAAAAGAAACGTGGAATATTTTCTATAAATCCAGTAGAAAAACCATCTGGTGATTTATATTATTGATGATTCTCTCTACCAAGGCTTAACTTCTATCTTTAGAAAGCTCTGTAGGATCATTGAAGATATGCTAGACTGATATCATCCAGAAAATCAGCAGCACTGGAGTAGAGCAGCCAATCTAAGGCCTGACTGTAGCTTGGTTTGATGATCAGCTGTTCATTCTAAGTTCCATTGTAACTGGAATGGGTCGATTCTGGTGGTAGAGATGTGGATGAGTATCGTTGAGTTTACAAGTTCACCATAACCCCCCAAGCCTGTACACCTAAAATGAGACAGACTCCTTACATACAACTGATTGTAATGTGAATGCAAGTGTTTTGTTGTCTCACACCATCCAAAATCTATAAACAGGCAACTCATTTGATTTACAAACATTGTATTGAAAAACACTGTACCGAAGTTCATCATAAAATCAGACAATGAAACAAAAATGTGCTTTATTGTGTGGGGTTGTTTGAGAGGATGTTCTTTATGAATGAGGAGTAAGTGACAAATTTGCAGCAATAAAATTAATTTGTCTATTTTACCTTCTAATTAGCCCTGGTGTTAGTAGGTAGAACCCCACTGGAGTCAGGAGAGGTTGTACCTACTTTGTCCTAATCTGAACCATCGTTTCCTTTTCTTTTTATACAAAGTATGGCCCTTTATGCTTCCTACAATATTTATGTGTAAATGATCACATTGGGAGATTCTTAGAAATAATTGAAATGTAAAAGACAGTATGAGGTCTTTAAAAGAATGATTTTCCTACTGAGATGATCAAAATAGTTTTATTGCTAATATGAAATGGTGAAAAATCATCTTTATGGAATACCAGCTTCAAGAAAGCATTGGCTCAGTAAATCTAAATTTTGCTTTGGGTGTCCTTTGGAAAGGACACTTTAATGCACTTTGTTCACTAATGGGTCCAAAATAAAAGGGTCCTAAGCTCAGCTTCAGAGTTGTTAAACATTGATTTTCCAGGTACAAAGATATGATATAGTTTGCCTTATGATCATATGAAAGAAGCTTATGAGCAGGGTAATGAGTACATGCCTATAGCTTTTTAAAAATTAGAAATTACATTGCTGGGGGGCTTTTTTTCCCCTTTAGTTTCCTATTCCTGCCATATTTACTGTTGAATGAATGGGGAAAATTTTCCCTCTGGTAATAAATTAGCTGGAGCCATTTCATTGCTTCTTGCTGTGGCATCATTCCACTGTTTACAGATAATAGCCACTGATCTTGTCTAATTTGACATGTTTAAGGGAAAATATGTACATACTCTCTGCCACAATGTTTACTCTAATGTCTATGATGATATAGAAAAGGGCCCAGCACAATTAAAATATATTCTGAAATATTGTTTTTGTAAATCATTTTCTAATGACCAATGCCACTTGATGTGCTTTGTCCAAGTTATCTAACCTTGAATGTTTATGTGAAGGCTGTTATGTACAGTGGATAGGACACAGTTCATAAAAAAACAATGGTAAAAAGGTATGGGGAAAAGGGAGTGACAATTTGGGATGGATGCCAGTCTCCTGTCTAGCAGAGAAGAATGAGCTACAACAGCCTACTAGGTAAAGCTATGTGCCTCCTTTTTCAGAAATACAGTATTAGGTAAATCTGGAAGCTAATCTCAGTAACCAGCAAACTGAAAACAGTTCATGAGTTAACCACACAAAACTCACAGAGATCAAACTGGATTGAAAATTGTATCATGAATTAGAAAGGTTTCCCCCTCTTTTTCATTTTAAACACAGACCATGTGTTCAGAGATTGACTCTGGTTTTGGCAGAAGGGAAAAATGGCCTTTTACCTGCTATAATAATCCTTACTATAGGATTTATATTTCACCACTGAATACTTCATTTGGAGCCAACCACATTTGTCCTGTGGACTATAAATTCAGTCAGTGCACTATATACATATGGGCATGTGTGTTTATGTGTAGTTGTAAATGTGCACACGCACAGACACGCACATGTATATGTATGTGTGTGTGTGTGTTTGTGTGTTTATATATATTAAAATATAGGTATACATATATAACTGTAAATTAATTAGCAGCAAATTAAGTTTCAGACCATCCCTTTTAGTTTGTTTTTGATCCATTACATGTGCTGCATGAACTGGAACTGAGGAAACAACCTGTCATCTTTGGTATTCATATGGAGACTTTTTAAAAACACCAACACATCTGTTTATTTTATGGTACTTGATTCAATGCCTGATTAATCAATAAAAGGATCCCTTTGAAAAGATAGTTTCAGTGTTTTATGGCATTTTGCATGGTCTATAAAAATCAAATGAAATATGGGGGACAGCTCTCCTTTTACAAATAAAGCACATCGATTTTAAAAAGGAATAACTGGCTCAGAAGTGGCTTTACTTGTATCTTATGACACAAGTAAAGCTTTATGACTGGTGGTGAAGTACTGATTTATAATGCCATATTAAAAAATACAAATACTTGGGACAAAATTTGCAAAAAAAATGTATAGTGAATAAATCCCATACTGGGATGATGATAATTTTAAAGATGTAAACCTAAGTTGCAATTCAGTACAGCAAGTGATGGATACTAATGGTAGCATGAAGAGCGAGAATAGTGTACTCAAGTCACTAAGGATAATGTTCAGCACGGTTTAAGAGAGATTGAAACAAAAGCTCATTTTACCTAGCTTTTCCTCTATCTGTTTGTATCTCTCTTGCCTTACCTGTCTCTGCCTTTTAGTCTAACAAACCCTATCAAGCAGTGGTTTCAAAATTGTTCCACCTATTTTTAAGAGAGTGCCTTGTAGATCATCTACATAGACAGGTTGGAGTGTGCTCCTCCTCCATTTTTTTGGAGCGCTGATTCACATTAAAAGAAGCTAAAAGTACATTAAATAATTTCCCAGTATTACTTTACCATATAAATAATTCCTATAGTTGCTTCAAGGATATTATGTAATCAGCAGTAGGAAGAGGAGGTGGCCCATGTGCCCACTAATAGGAAGGGGGGAATGGTGAATGTGATTGCAAATACGTACCATAGTCTCAAATGTAAGGGAATGTAGCATGTTCTGTGGCACAATCCATCTATGAAAAAAGATAGAGACCCATTGCCACCAAAGGGAAAAGTATATGTAGGTCTTTATTCCCAACTATAAATCAGGAGTAACTTCAGGAATAACTGCATTAACTGAAGTTACTCCTGTCTCAATAGCCCAGCCTCCATGTATGTTTATCAGGGGAGGTGGGAATAAAATATAGCTCAGAGGGGATGTGGTGGCAAAGCAGTTAAGGTATATGGCTATGGAGGTGTGAGTTCATTCCCTGTTCTGGGCTGTGCCTGGCTAGTCCACCTATAAATGGTGCCTGGTCATTTGGACTGAGTGTCCAAGGCAGCCAGATGTGATATTAGCTGCATCACTCCCTTGCATATCATTGTCTATTGGAACTGATGTGCGTGAGCTATGTGAATCCAATGAGCCTTTCAGGACCTTTGAAGGACTGGTCAGAATAATTGGACAGGTGGAAACCTGCCATTACTCTTTCATTTAGTTCTCATCCCTGTTATGAAAAAGCAAACCTGCACTGATTTGTCCATCTGCTGCTTCCCTGATGGACCTTCTTCCACATTTCCAAATGACACAAAAACTTGCTTAAAATCCTAACCCAAATAAAAGCAGTAAACTGGGGATATCAGTCCCCCAGGCCCTGAATCCTCTTGACACTTACCCAGGTTTTCAGTCTGGTGATTTCAAAGGAGATAGCCCTGATTTACACTGGCAGAGCTGAAAGGAGAACAAGATCAATGAATCTTCCAATTCCATGGAGGTCAAAACTCCAGCAAAATGTGAACCTTTGTGCTAGCGGAAAGGCATGCCTATTAAATCAAGTCCTTGCAGCAGCACATTAGCTGCAGTTTCTCATGTGCTGTTTCTCAAGCCCAACACAGGTGTGCTTTTAAAATATGCAGTTCTATAGCATTCTTCTGAGTGAATTGTCTGGACAGTACTATACAATTTCCTTAAAGCAGCATGCAAACAATTCTTTTAGCAGGTGCTATGTTACAGTTATAATGGAGGCACAATTTAAAGTACCATAAGCAGCCTAATTATATTGTTCCTGGTACTTCCATTTAAGAATGCAGTCTAGCTAAATCTATGTAAAAGTCTACTACCTCCAAGTGTTTATCTCAATTTGTGTAATTATTTCAAGTATATTGGGCTCGTAGTGGGTTGGGGATTTGGTTAGCTCCAACAGCCCTTGTTTTCCCTGGGTCTCACACACTCCCCTCAGGGAACAACCAGCAAGAGTGCCCAGGGTCAGGCCTGCTCTTGCCAACCCCTCACTCTTCTCCCTCCACCAGTTTCACTCCAGCAACTTCCAGTCTCGCTGTTCACAGTCTCTCAGCATCTCTCAAGGTGTTTTTTTACAGTTTCTTGCAAACCCTCAGGAGAGAGGCACCCTGATGGGGTGCTCAGGGCTCATTCTGGGAGCCAACCCATCTACTCTCTCTCCCCTTCAGCTCAAGCCTGGGAGCTTTTTAGTTCCTACAAGCCAGCCAGTTGTTGTC